GTATTCTTTCTCCAAACCCAATTTTCCATTTTTATACAGAATCTTGTGTACTCCAGCCTGCTCTCCTTTTTTAACATTATCATTCCTTAAAAGGCTAAAAGATGATGGGTACCCTCTTGAAAACCAACTGGGATTCCTTGTAGCCCATTACTTCATTCATTTATAACACTGGTCCTGTTCTTGTTATATGTAAACTTAGTTATCTTGCTCTTTGTTATCATTCTCTTTCTATTCTCCATATAACTTTTTATCAATTTTTCAATTACAGTAGTTTTATATCCTAATGATACAGCAATGTTTTTAATTCTATCCAGCTTTTTATCCTGTCATATATGTTGGAGCAATACATGAAGGCGCTTCTGATTAAATTTCTAAATGCTAAGAACTTATAAATGTAGGGGTCATTTGACCAAGATGAAATATATAGAGGGTCAGGCATGGGTTTAATGTATACCTTTGTGTTCAAAGATCCATTGTTAAATATGATGTAAATGCCAATAATTATTTATTTATTTACTTCTTATTGTTCCTTTTTTATTGTATTATTTTTATTATTTTGTTATTTTAAATTGTATATATATAACTATAATTTATTCTTTGGATATAATATTCCAAAGAATTTATTTTAAGTGTGTTCTTAACTGTTCTAATCAAAAAGAACAGTTATCAATGTTCCACAGATTTCTAAAACCTAAAGATGGTCTGTAGAACAGGTTGAAAATATTTGTTAAAGTTAATAAATAATTCTCAGTGAGATAAGGTGTTGTTATGGAAATTAAGAAGTATCTAGCTGGGCATTAATTCTATACATCTGATATGTTGATGATGTTCTCATAATCTAATGTCAGAAATCAGATTTAATCCAGTTCTTATAAGCATCAACAGCAATCCCTTTGGCATTCACCTCCGTACTGAGCAAGAAAGCCACCACCAAGTTCATTTCCTGAACATCCTTCTTACACTCAAAGATGCAACATTTTAACTAAGGTTTATAGAAAACCAGAGTAATTTGGTAAACTAACAACTCCAAAATTGATCATCCAGCTCTTGACTAAGGATGATAAATTTTTGCCAGTTAGGATAAAATTCCAGCAACAAGTTGCTTAACTTTCCTGGCAACATTTGGTGGCACCATCTATTATGATATTTTATTATTAACCTTTCAACAGTGGACTAGTCGGGTATGGTTCTACCGTCAGTAGTGGAGAATAAATGTGGGAAATTTTTAAAGTATTTTTCTACACATTTTTTTTCATTACTGTTTCAAAAAAAGATTTTGTAAACAGTTATGTCTAGTAAAGAAAAGTCTTTTTTTATTGTTACATAATTCATTTTTTATGTGAATTTTTTTTCGCGGTAGTTTTAGGCTAATTTTTGGCGATACCCCCAGAAGAATTTGACGACTATAGTTGTCGCTCACTGCTGAGTGGTTAAAAACATTTTATATTTTTAACTATTATAAATTAGCAGAAAAGCTTAATTTTGAGGGTAGGGATGGGTTTTATGAAAAATTGTAAATGCTAATAAAGAGTAAAATTGTCATTAAGTCTGATCCTACTGGAGATACATACAACCACCTTTATCTCCCCACCTTAACCTTTAATCACCAAAATTTTATAGCATTAATCCCCCAATAAACAAACCTCCCTGCAAAATTTCAGAAATTTTTGACAAAAAGCACCAGAATTATTAAGATTCAAAGAGGGTGAACGAAATCATGCCACACACACACTAACACCCATACATACAGAAATTACCTCTCCAAATTATTTTGCATTTCTTGACATTTCAAGGTCTTCTGAGTTGAAAAATGTAAAAATCTTGGGGGAAGGTCATGTTTTGACCAATTGCCGTACCTTCCCTCAGTTATATATAACAGCCGGAAAAGTAAAAATTATGTAGTTTTAAAAAATTTAATCTATTAAACAGAGTAATTTGTATATAGTTAACTGTGAAAATAAAAAGAAAGCTTTGAAAAATTTATTTATACTTTTAGCTAAAGTGAAACTTTTATTTGAAAATCAGAAACACTGAACTTTTTTAAGAGGCTTGTGAAAAGCTTTACATTGATATCCTGCTACAAGTAAAGTGTTTTTATTTCATCCAACTCCATTTGTAAGATTGTTTTTTGTGGAAAAGTAAAAAATGCTTTTCTTATGATAGGGTAGATGGCAGGTAATAAATAAGGTTTATACTGAAAAGACATAACAGGAAAGAATGTCAGAAGTGCAGTTGATTTATGCTGAATTCTGAACTGAATTTAAGATGGCTATTTTTTGACCAAATCCAAGAAATTTACTTTCAGAAATAAATTTAATGTAATTTAATTTGTATAATTATTTTCAAAAGTTTATTGTATGAGAATAATGTAATCTATGGCTTAGAAAATATATGGGAAATATTGTAATTCAAATAATTTTGTTAGAATTTTTTTACTTTAATCTATAGTAATGAAAGAGGTTACTTTCGTTTATAACAGAAATACAATAGTTAACAACTCAAATTAGATTGTAATATGGCTAATACAGCCAAAATTTTTAATTTTTATGTTAAGAAAATGTGTAACAAACTAGCAATGACATTGTTATAACTAATTAACTATTATACAAATATTGTATTACACCCAAAGTAACAGAAACTAATCCTGTATAACAGTGAATCCCAACCAGAAGTTTGCACACTTGGTGGTTTAGGAGTATGTGAAAAAACTTAATGATAACAGATGTTTTGTAAGAATATTTGAATTCTGTGCTCAAGCCTTTGGAGACATCACAACACTCGATGCTTAACTTTAAAAAAAATATTGTTTTATTATATTTATCTGTATCTTTCTACCAATGCTTTTTAATTTAAAAGTTTTTTACATGTAATTGTACAGCACTGTATAATTGACCAAAATGCCCTATTTGACAAATATGTGAAATAAAATTTACCAAAAATGGAAAATAAAAATTAGGGAAATGGGCTGCCAAGGGGTACACAACTCAAAAAAGGTGGGAATGGCTGCTGTATACAATAAAAGTTAATTGATTGATCTATAACATAATTTACCAAAGACCAAAATCTATACAAATAAATCAAAATCAGAAGTATTCATGACAATAAGATAATAACAACCACATACACTGCTAATGTCTCTCTCTACTAATGAAAACTGGATATGTATAAACTGTAAAATAACCCTTTTAATACCTTAATTCTTTTGTATAAAATGAAACTAACTAACATTTTCAATCTAATATTAAGATCTTTATCAGTTAGATCGAAAATGTTAGTCATTTTTATTTTGTACTGGAGAATTAAGGTATTAAAAGGGTTAACATTATGAACTGTTTTTGGGAAAGAATTATCGTTAGTATTTTCCTTTTACACACAAATATCTAAATGCTTATTGCTTAATATGAATTATGGCATTACTATATTTATGATATAAAAGATATCTACAGTATTTAATAACAATGAAGTGTTTAATATTTAAATTGATATTTTTGTAAAAATAAAATTTATAATGCAATATCCATTATATCTTATAAGCTGATTTCTATTGTATTTTCTGCACTAGATACAATTTGTCCAGAAAAAAATTAAATTTTAATGATGATTCTAAAATATACTACAATCTAAGGATAAACCTAATAAATATTAACTTTTATTCAATTTTTTTATTTTTTGTTGAAATATTTTAGCACTACTGGTATACGAGTTGTGATAATTTAATTAAATTTAGAAAATTAGCAAATACAGTATAATTTGTAATTAAATTCAAATTGAACAGAATGTAAACCAACCAAACATTGCCAAATTAGAAAAGCTTTTAGTGCCATCTGTTATTACTAAATCAAGTTAATTTTCAAGGAAAACAGATATTGATCATGAAATCTCCAGATGAACTCAACAGAAAGAAAGAAAAAAAGATATTGGTCATATATATATAGAAAAGAAGTTATTGCAATTGTATCACATTTAAAAATTAAAATAATGCCAACAGCATCTATATAAATTATATAATTAGATCATATAATAAAATGAGGAAAACATTCTTATTTTAAAGACAGAACTGATCTATGAGATAAAATTATTCTGACTGAAAGAAAAGACATTGCATATAATATTTTCATATATCATTATATACAAAAACAAAGATATATCTACATAATTCTAAATTTATTAATATTTTCTTTTATGACACACCTAAAGACAATCAACATTATATAATTAAACAATTTTTCCTGCAAAATAGATTATTTCATTTTTATTATGCATCAAGGATAAAAAGTTCACAAAAGAAATCTCACAATCTTACTTTACGAAAACATGTAATTAAATAAACTAGAAGTTGATTATGCTAGATTGCAAATCAAGTTATTATTATTATTTTAAAAATAATTTTACATAATGAAATTTAGAATTTTTCAGTTTACAATTCAAAAATTCTAATAACAGCCATTATAAACAGTTTGCTGTTCAAACTGTTTGTTAAGCATTCAAATTGTTATTGAATTCTAAATTTGTTTCATGTTTACATAATATACTTTTATAATATTGATTTTAAAAAATAAAATTTGAAATATTAATCTTTTTAAATATTACAACTCTAAAAATGAACTTATTTGTACTTGATTTAAAATGTCAGACAGTATTATTTACAAAATATAGAAAATACAGAAGATACAAAAACATCTTCACTTCCATTCATTTCAACCATTAGGAACTAATAAACCATTTTAAATGGTTTATGGCTTATCGTCAGTGAACATTTTAAAATTATTTTGCATATTGTAGCAGAGTCACAGCCTACAATAAAAGGTTGTCTCTGCGAAGGAAGACTGTTAGTTCCTGGTGACCAGAAAAGGCAGAAGTGAAGATGATTTTGTACGTTCTGCATTTTCTATATATTGTTATTTGTAATTTTTTAAACCAAAAATTAAAAAATATTAAACTTCTTGGTTTCCAGATTATAGTCCAGTCATAATAGAAATTTTTCATATAATTATCAATACCTGCATGAGAAATAACTAAAGAAGCTTCTTTCATATCATTATGTAGAGATTCTTTATATCTATACCATGATATTTCAATATCATTGTTTTTTTCAAGTTCTGGTTCATAACTGCCATTTCCTACTTGCAACACCAATTTTGTAAAGTTATGTGATTTAATAATCTGTTAAAATAAAATAAATTTATATTAAAATATGTAAAAAAATAAATAAGCATTTCTTACATAATTGAAAAAAATTAATAATTTCATAAATAAAATAAAATAAATTAAAAAATAGTAGAAATAAAGTAGAAGCAATTTACAACATATGATTATTAATTAGTTTACAGCATTAACATATCAGAAAACTGTATGTAAGCATTTATAAGTTAAAATCTAAAAAAATTTTATTTAAAATTACAGAAAATATGAGAAAGTGCTGAAATAAATTTGTAAGCTGTAATTTTTCATTTTACATATTTGTGAACCAAAAAATATTAAAGAAATTGTATACATTATTTGTTCATTGCAAATGATTTTTGAATTTGAAAATTTTTTTATAAAAAAATTCTTCTCTCACTCAACTGAACAGTTTGTAAAAAGAGAAAACATGCCACAATCTCAAATCAGTCCAGCACCTATTATTTAAAAGTTCTACAAATGCTCTTGGTCTACCTCTAAAATCTGTTTCAGGTAGAAGTCATTCATTCTAAAATGAAATATTTGAAAAAGAACCAAGGCAGAATTCAAAACTTAAAGTTTTGAATTCTGCCTTGGTTCTTTTTCCAATATGTAGTCAGCAGGTGCATTATTTGACTGGATGATCACTTAAATACAGTGTTGAATGATATATCACTCATCAGACCTGGGAGACTTGTTTCTCATTCTTGTTGATACAGTTACCATTTTGGTTAGCCTTAAAAATCTCCAAGGATTCAATATCTCTAATAAAGTTCACATTTCAGAGCTGTTCTTATCATAGCCTCCTAATTTAAAACAAAGCTTCAATGTTGTCATCCAAGGCATATATAGAGAAGACAGTGGGACCTTTCCTGTTACTGATGCAATATTGTGCTCACTCACACTCTTCTTCATGGACAACTTGATGGAGCCAACATAGATCAAATCCCTATCAAACTTCTTGTTGCATAGGGTTATCACGTACACTGCAGTAGCTCTCTGGATATTAAGAGGATTTTTCCCATTCCTAAGCATTGTGAAAATAGTGAGGTTTCATTTGTAAGTAATGCAAGTGTCACTACTCTTCACTATCTGTTTAAACAAAGCATTCATACCAGAAGCAGGTCTTAGAAGCAATTTACAACATATGATTATTGATTATCTTACAGCATTAACATATTATCATAAAACTGTTACAGAAGATCACTTGTAGAACTTTTAAATAACGTGCTAAACTGATGTGAGATTGTGGTATGTGTTTCGTTATCATTTTAAATTTTTATAACTTTTATTTCTATTTACAGAAAAGTTTTAATTATGTAAATCTGTTTAAAATATATATATATATTTTAAAAGTGAATTCTATCATATATGAATTTTGGTTGATCTTTTAGCTAACTTGAATATATATAATAAATTTGAATGTCTTCATTTTGCAATTTAACTAAAGTTAACCAAATTGAAACATTTAAGCAAGAAAGTACAACATTCTTATTTAAATTAAAATTATCTGTTACACTTAAAATATAGAAGTATTTTTATTTTTAAGTATTATATACCATATTTACTTGCATATAGGACGAGGTGCGACTTTAAATATCAAAATAAACAAAATTAGATTTATTAATAGTTCTAATTTTATTTTGTTTAATCACAAATGAAATATCAAATGAAAGCAAACGCACACATTGTCCCACAAAAATTACAGGCATTTTAAACCTTAAGGAAAAATCTTAAAAAATCAACATAATTGGTTCATATAAAGCTGGACAATTGGAAACCTTGTTTGCCAATTCTTAACAGTCGAATCCACTCTCCGTTGATTACACTTATGAGTTTCTCCGAATTCTGATTTCTGAATAATCATGCTTTCACATGGGAATGGATTAAAACTTATTTCGGGCTCCCATGTGATTTTGGAATTCAATTCAAACGCTTTGCTTTTCCTATTGCTATTCATCTTTACTCCTGACAATACACAAGAATGATGAAACAACCCAGATAAAATACTTCTGTTTTTAAACACCAGAGGGTGAGCATCTGGTAAAAAATGCAAATATTACAAAAATTATTACAAAAACAAAAAATCCTTTGCTTGCGCATATAGGATGACCTAGGTTTTTAGCAGTAAAAAATGAATAAAAACCTTGTCTTATATGCAAGTAAATATGGTACTTAAAAAATGTAAGTGCAAGAAATGAAGAAATTACAAGAAATAATGCATTTATTTCTTAGAACATAAATGTCGATGAAAACTTCTCAAAAAGGAATTCAAATACAGTAGACCCCCCTATAAAACGGGTTCCTATAATTTCAATTCCTATAAGACAGCGAAAAAATTGCGACGGTATCCATAAAAAACTCCTATAATTATGTAAAACGTCATCGGGTAGCCGAACTACTTTCCGTGCCGTCAAGCGCCACGCTATGGAGAGATTACTATCATCTGTACAATATTATATATAAATTAGGTACTGTACATATAATTATATATTAATTATATACAAATTAGGCATTGTATATATAATTATATATTAACTTAATTTATTGTAACTTTATTATAATTATATATATAATCATCGCTAAACCCGATGTAATATAGCTAATCACCAAACATATGCCGTAAATCCATCGGGCTAGTTTTAAGGCTAATTACTAAATAAATTACGTAATTAATTTGGAACTAGAGGTAAGTGTTAGGCGCCATCTCTTATTAATATTAATAATTATAAATAAATTAATTAATTTAAACAATTTAGAACCGCTGGGAGAAAAAATCGGCCCGGAGCGGGACTCGAACCCACAACTCCTGCTTACCGTGCAGATGCGTTGCCAGTTACGCTATCCGGACCTCCGATCCGATCTCCTCTTCCAGCGTATAACTATGTAACCATCGACGGTTATTACAATGCC